ATCACAGTGCAGAGAGAATGCAGTCTCTGAGGACTACCACAGGGAACAAGAACAGACTGCATCCATCATACTGCATTACAAAATTAATGCCGTATTAGGAGAATCTCCCCTCCCGTGGGTGGTGCTCCAGCTGGTAAGCACCCAAGGGGCAGGCGGCTATCAGAACCGAGAGCACTGCTCAGTCTGGATCAGGATACCCGTTGGTGCACCTGCCAGTGACTGATGCATCTAGTAATCTCAGTACATTTATGGAGAAGATCTATAATACCACATTCTGGCTTTTTGAGAAGCAAAGGACAGTCTGGGGAATGTAGTAGAGGATAGAGAATCAAAGGCCATATTTTTCCTCAGGAGAGAAGAAACCCACACCACCAGTTTTCATTGTGAAAAGTTTAAATTTCAGATTACATATAACCCCACAGAAACGTGACTTGTACTTACATATACACACAGGATCTGAAGAACTTAGCTATCTAGTTGTCTCTTCTCTAATTAAACCACTAGTTGCCTTCCTTGGATTTCTAAGTGGTAGTCTCACCACCACGTTGGTGTCATTAGCAATTGTTAGAAATCTCATGTTCCATCCACAGTCATAAGTGACTAAAGGACACATACCCAGTTACCAGAAATGCTGACAGCCACAGGGCCACTAATTTCATGTTACAACCTTTAAGGGAGTGAGGAGAAATCACAAGAATACATACCTAGGGTGAGCAGCTCCTCCTAGGGTGCCTGGGAGTTTCCTGGGTTTAGTGCTCTAAGTGCCACATCCAGGGAACCCCAGTCCCAGGCACACCAGGGCAGTTGCTCACCCTAAAAATACCACTCACTCCTCCCTTGGTATCTCTTGAGAAAAGATAAAAATTTTCAAGAGCGTAGTCTACCTATGTGGGCATCAGCTCAAAATTATTTTTAGGACACTTGCTAATGGCTAATTCCTAGGAAGTCCATAAATATTTAATGGTGTTAATTTTAAGAATAGTATTTATGCAAATTTGTAAGTAGTGTATAAAAGTTCATCCCTGCAACCTGTTTTCAGACAAATCCTCCAAAGGTTCTGTTTCTGTCCAGTTATACAGTATTTTATTGTATCTTTGCAAAATTTTCAAAGCTAAAGGAATAAACCAGTTTTATGTCGTTTCATATTCTTTTTAGGTGAAAACATTTGTTGCCAACTATTTCCCACATTCTTGCTTTATATATTGAAAAGAAGACTACCAACTGGAGATCATCCTCCCTCCCCACCCCCCCACCCCCTGGCTTGCAAAGGCCCTGAATTATGTTACTTTTCCCCCAGAAGGTCTGGCCTTGGGGAAAACTGGCAAAAAGACTACTCTAAGATATAAAAATTTTTATTTTGCCTACAATGCTGGGATCTAGTTCAACAAGTGCAGAACTGTTTTCATCTTAATCTCTAGTGTTTCTTGTTTTGCCTTCTTGTATAATAACGGTTAGTGTCATAGCTTCACTATCACTAATAAAAAGATATAAATATTTATGCCTTAAAGGTCAGGGTCAAAAAGCAAAAATGAAGCCTGTGGTAAAGGTGGTCTAAGAAATGACCAATTTGGGTTCTGCCAAGAAATAGGGTTTTCAAAAAACTTTTAAACCCATGCATGTTACCTACTTGCTATATATGTGATTTTTATTTCTCCCAATTTAAATTCATCTGTGTATATATTAGTTACATAAACCAACAAATGACTACGTTCTTAAAGCAGGTACATACATTCACCAAAAAAGACCCTACTCTTTTCACCAATATATTTTTTTCTGTTTGAACAATCCAAGAATGTGAATAATGAAAGCGACAAACATATTTTCTTGGGGACTTATTCAGAAAAGAAGTCTCTTTGGAAGACTTTAGTAGGACTTCTATTTCTACAGACAAATGTTTAGAACCAATTCTATGCTACAGCTTTGTAAAGGGTAGAACTTAATATAGAACCAGAAATATGGCAAGTTCTCTAGTGACTAACATTGTAAAATGGCCAAAAGCTTTAAAGCCACAGGGAGGAGGAACAGTAGAGTGTGAAATGGAAAATGTTATTTTTATAATCCTAAAATTTTACTTTTGTTCTTAAATCTATATATTATGGATTTCATTATTCCTTAAATTATCATGTTTATTAGAAATAGGAGGTAAATCCCTATCCCCAACCCAAAAGAGCAAACTGGACATTTTGGAGAAACCATCATTTTTCAGGAAATTTTTTCTTTTTTAGAATAATCTAGAAGTCCTTTGTGTACAGCTAATGAATCCTTATCACTCCTATTATCAGTGGCATTATTCTTCCAAGGGGTCCTTACATCTAAACTAACGGTGAAATTTTGAGTCTATTATGAATCTCAAGGCAGCAAAACAACTGATTCTGAAATTTACTGAGGCTAATATACTCCAGTCAGATCCTCTGTAAATCAAGAGATGGCCCAAAGACCTTTGGAAAATCCATTTATGTTGAGCACAGCTAAGAAAATCAGTTCTGTGCCATCTTCAGGCTCCTCTTAAATACAGAACTTAACTTGATAGTGGTACTTCCCGGGGTATCTTAAGCAGCTTACACCAAAGGAAAAAGAATTAAGGACAGGGGCCACAATTTAACATTAAAAAATAGTTAACCATAAGTTAGTACTTTCCAGAGACCACTGAGCATATAATAAATTAATGAAGGGGCATATGGTAGAGCTTTATTTGATGTTAGTGATTTCCAGTTATGATTCTTAATTGTCATTGTGCCTAAAATGGCATACTAACTGAACCACCAAATTAGGACTCTGGCAGAAGGAAAAAAAATTACTCTGATGGTCTGTCCATGAAAGGAAAATATCTGCAAGCAAATTAAAAACTTTTTACTGAAATAACAGAAGCATTCAACACTTTAAAAAAATAGGCAGATAAATGATCCTTACTGTTAAGGTTTTTCTATGAGTGTACATGTATGTATATATAAAACCATACACACACATTATATAGTTTATTTCCTACTAAAAAGATTTAAGGCAGTTATTCTATCTATAAAGTTAGCTATAATACCCAAGATAAAACAGTTCCTACTCAAGAAATTGTGTGAACACGTTAGACAAGTTCTTATCATAAAGGCCATCTATCTAGTACAGTTCACATTTCCTGTCTGAGGCTACAAACACAGGAATTCCACACCAAGAGATCATTTGTCCTTCAATCCCCATACATTAAAAAAGTAGTGTGAACAGACAAAATACTCATGGAAAGCTTGAGAAGACAATATGAAAGGAACCCCATAGGAGTATTCTGACTACCTCTAGAGACCACACACTATCATTACTCTCGATTGTACTAAATTCAACAATACAATATGCTCCAAGGTGGAAACAGGGCTAGTATTGTAGGAAAATCATTGGTTACAACTGCCAGAAAAGTCCATAATCCTAAACTAAGTTAAAATAGGATCTGATGACATGCTATTTGCTAGTCAAAGACATTAAACTGGAGAGAATTTCTCCCATCAAGTGATTGACCATTTGAACAACAATCTTCATGAAGAAATTAGAACCCTGGGTGTGAAGAGCACCATCCTTTTTGGTCTTTAGTAAGTCAAAGGAGAGAAACATTCTGATGTACACAGATAAAACATAGTTGGCAAGGAAGATGGCAATCAGCGAAACCATTAGGGACACATGTCAAGAGAACGGGAGAAAGAATAAAAGTCAGCTGATAAATATGAGCAAAGCTCATGGAGGAAAGTAAACAAGGCAATAATTTGTTATGTCTAGACATCAATGTGTTAGAGTAAAAAAAAAAAAATCATGTGTTTCCATGTCGACTACTTAGTTATCTCAAGAGATACCGGGCATGGGGGAGGGGTGATAATGGAGGCAGGCCAACTGCGAAACTGGAATGTTTGGCTATGAAAGCAAAGACTGCACATGAAAAAATTTTAAGTAAAGATTGTCTTGTGTTACTTTATATCCCACCATCAACCAGGAGGGCCCCTATTATTGAATGAATGTTCGAAATAATTAGTTATTTAAAAAGAGAAAAAAAAAGATCCTAAAAGTATATTTGGACAGTTTCTGGAAGAGGTAGAGACACCAAGTGGGTATTTGCACTCTTTTGTTTGATTTCAACTAGCAAGAAACTGATTGCATTTCACCTTTGGAGTTTTAGTCTTGATGAAACTGTCAATAAAGGTACAAATAAAGTGAAATTACAGTAATTTCAACAAAGAAGAAATCTGACAATGTTTAAAAGACTGATGAATCGACCAAAAGGAAAAAAAAAAAAAAAACCCTAGGTATTCAACAATGTGCAAATATAAACGAAATACAGAATAAGTATAAAAGTACAGAATAAGACTATTCAGCTTTCAAGAAAAAATACCTGATTTTCTTCTTGCAAAGTGACAGGTCCCGAGAGAGACAGTAACCCCCACAAGACTAAGCACAGCATGAGGGTCAGTACCAAATCTTTTTATTACTCCACACCTATCACAGTGGCTTGGAAAAGAATAGGCATCAATAATGTATAATTAGTATAATTAATTCGAATCTAATCAGACAAGTTTCTTAAAGTGGGATGAGAAAAGAACACAAGCAGGGTTATTCCAGAGGGCTAAAATCCAGTTTGTTCTCATTTTAACCAGTGGTTATAAACTTCTCAAACTTTTTTAAGCAATAAAACTTTTTCTTTTAAAGAAATCTATGTAGAACTCCAATACAGAATTAAAATAAAGTGCCACTAGTTAGATCAAAATCAGTGGGGATGTCACAGCCTCCAATTTCCAAGGCCAGCTCTAAGGTATCTATATGGAATCGAATCCACTGAGAAAAACACCATTCACCTAGAAGTGATAGACAGCATAGTCCTTCAGTTCTCATACTGTTCAAGTGAGGAAGTTACTAGCCCTGTGAAGGAGAAATTCTAAATAATGTTGCTGATTTAAATAAAGATAAAATTCAAAAGAGAAGAGAACTCACCATTTACAAGAATGAAAACAGCCCCTATAAAGGGGGTGGGGTGGGGCGGGGAAGGGTCAACGTTAATAGGCCACTGTAGACAGAACAGAATGCAAAAACAGCATCTCATTAAAAAGCAAATATGAAAAAAGGCCGCTGGTTGGGATTACTACTTGGGCATTGCAGATGCTCTTTCGTTAAAATACAAGAAATTTGAATTGTGAACAGCCCAGGAAACTGCTAAATATTTGGGGAACTATCTGAATGTGAAGAAGAGAAGCAGAGAGACAAATGCTTTTTGGGTTCAACATCTTCAAAGAAGCTCTAGGGAGGTATTGCTTAAAAACACCTATATCAGTAATGTAAATGGGCTAATTTTGCCTACATACACACACACACACACCCGTTATCCATTAATTTGTTTTCTGTGGTTTCTGTTACTCCTGGTCAACTATGGTCCAGAAATCAACAATCTATAAGTAAAAACAATCACTACCATGACCATTAAATGTATTCACGAAAATGTAGTCACCACCGTGAAGTCAACTGCTCCATAGGCATAACTGCTCACTACAATAGGTGTTTCCTGAGTTGGTCCCAGCCCCACGCTGCACAGCAGAACTGCAGCACAATGCAGAGCTGTGCTACACTGCTGGCATGCTGGCGCTGGCTCTGCTTCACCTAACACAGCAGTGCAAGAGGGACTGCTCAGACCTTCCATTGGTTTCAGAGTTGTTTGTTCTGTGCCCCCAGAACTGTTCCCAGGTTCTCAAGTAAACACCTCCGAAGGGCAGAGGCTTCCCTGGTTATCTCCAGCAGATCTGACAATGGTAATAACTGGGACATACACTCAAATCACAAGATGCACTGTAGAAGTAGTAATTAGTGGGCAGCAGGAAGTCTGGAAGCAAGCAGCCAGACACCAGTGGTGAAAACTTGCCCAAGGCAAAGTTAAAGAAGGGGTTGTTAAATGGTACTGACGGGTGCAAATGACAAACTTTAAAGCAAGGGCTTGAGGAACAAGAAATATTACTGAGCATGGCACAAGAAGCAGTCTATCACAAAATAAGGCCACCTTCAACTATTATAAATTGTAGAACCATTCTGATCCTCAAGTATGAATCTGTGTAGAGATGTTCATATAAAATATTCATACCTAATGAGTTTCCTCTAAGATGAGCCTTTGCACTTGATGCTGTTGTTTTTGCAAGGAATGCCCATCTCCGCAGGCTCTCCATCCAGTCTGCTCCTTTCTCACGCCAAGTGTTAGCTCAAGCATCACTGCCTTAGGGAAGCCTTCCCTCTGTTATGCTCTATCACCCTAATTATTTCCTTCATAGACAAAGAAGCTGATAAAGGGTTATAGTAACTGCTGTCTCAGCAAAGGAGATACTATCTGTCTTGTTCACCTTTACCAGAAGGATAAGAAAGTTCCTGGCACATATAATAGGTGAACAGTAAGTATTTGTTGAATGAATTAAAAATTCCAAGTTCACAAGAACATACACATATACACACTAATATTGAAAAATGGGGTCTACTTCACAGAAAACAACCAAATGCTCAAAGTACTGAAAATAACACCTGTAGAGACAGATGACTATAGTTTCAAAGAACAAGTACCTAAGATATATATCTTAAAAATACAAAAATGTACTAGACGGGGACCAGGAGTGGTTATTTTTCAATTCTATTGAGATGCAAACAAGTAATGTTTAAACAGCAATGACTTAACATTAGACCTAAGAATTACTTGCTGCAGAATGGACTGCCGACAAAGATTCTGGACTCTCCCTCTCACTGTATAAAATGTGGTCAGTTCTCAGAGCAACCACACGTTCAGGATTAGTTAAGAACAGCTCAGACTATAGGTAAATGTAAGCTTAAAAAGTCGCTAAACTGCTTCTCCTCAAATTTTTAAAATTCTAGATTAATAATTATGTAAAATAAGAGATTTTATCAATTGAATACAACATACTTTAAAAACAGATGGCCCTTATCTGGGGATCATACCTCATATCAGTTTTCTAGGTATTTTGCAGGAGCAATTACATTTCCAAAAGGTCCATTCATAAAACAATCTGGTAACTAAATCAAATGAAACGCAATCAAAGAGTACTAGGTTGGCTATTTAAATACTTAAAATACCTTTTTAAAAAGAGTGTTTACATCTATAGATTGGCTTTTAAAAAAGATAAATACACTGAAATAATTGTAGCATATCCCTGAAAAGAATTATACTGACACTTGTAAATTTTTTATGAGGTGTGGAAGGATAAATGAACCGACTGCTAGGTCACACAAGTCAAGTATTATTTGTTGAAATAAAGCAACTTACTCCATATGAACTCTTACTGTACCCCAGAAGTGACTGGTGCTGGCACTATCAGTGAAACCATTATTGGTGATGGATGTCATGCTATGCTGTTTTAGTATCGGGACAAAAGTAGAAATGGAGGTTTGGAAGATTTTCTCCAAGGCTTCCTTATAATGAGATTCAGCAATAAACAAACAAACAAGCCAACAAGAAGAAATGTTTAAGACCCAATGAACACATTAAGGTCAAGGATTTCAAAAGTTAATCCACTTTCTTCCCCCAAGAGTTTATTTTTGGTAAAAGGCAGAAAAATTAGTTTTTCTACAAGGGAAATCTGCTTCTAAATGATAATTTGAAAATCTTGATATATATTATATATTAAAAAAGACACACAAAAATAACGGAGAAGTGGGAATAACAGATTAGGTACTGTAACTTTATAAAGGCTTGCCTAAATCAAGAAGCAGCACACACGCACCTAATTTATGCAAACTAAAAATGTATATAAACAGCACAATACAGTGATACTGGGCCATGATACATTACCTGTACACATAACTACTACTGTTATTAAGAAACCTTTGGGACACTCAATTTTATGCCCAACAAGACATCAGTAAGTCTTTAAAATCTTCTCTTCCTCCTTTATGGGAGGGTATTTCTAGACACTAATTTTCCCATCTAATATTCGAACATAGAAAACCAATTCCACAAGGTGCTTTAATTGATGAGACCTCAAGTGCTGTTTTCTTGGTTGAATTTTTGGATACAAACAGTCCATGGGGACCACAGACAAATACTATGACAGAAGAGTTGTTACATTAAGTCTTTTGATGGGACTTGATTGATGATGAAGCTTTATGACATGCTTGAGCAACGCACTGAAGGGGATCCCATCTGAGTTAATACTTTGTCCAACCACTGTAGAGGTCCATTCAGATGAAGTTCAATCCAGCAAGGAGTGCTCGTTACTGTCTGCCTCCTGTTTAAAAGAATACAAGCAAATAAATATGAAAAGAACATGACCATGGTTAGCTACATGCAATAAGAATTTAGGTAAAGTAAAAAATTGTATATACTAAACTCTTTTTTTCAATGTGTTCAACTTTACTAATTATATTCAATACAAATAATAATAATATGTAATTCTTTTTTTATATAAAATTGTTGTCAAATCTTTGTTAATGAAACCTAAATTCTTTTGAACAAGTATTAAGTTTGGATATCTAATTATTTTGAAAACTGCTTAATCCTCAAAGTCTAGCAAAGTATTTCCAATGGCATTTTTCTTTTAAAGAGATTTATAAAAAAAAATTCCTTTCCCCTCAAATTAAAATTAGTAGGGTGACCTTATTATTTACCATCAAAATTAGGACACCATTATGAGAGAACATAGTCACTATTAATAATCATGCCAGGGTAAGAGAGATAAGCCAGGACTGTCCCGTGCTAATGGGAATATATAGTTAGTTACCCTACTTATTTATCAACCGTAGAACAGAGTATGTTCAAATACCAAAGTCTAAGCGGAACAGGGTGCAAATTTTATTAAAGTGTACCAAAACAAAATTCTGATCCAAGATTTTCACAGAATGTTAAGAGTTACAGTTCAACTCTCCTGGACAAAGCCAGTAACATCCCCTTTAGCAACATCATGTAGGCTTTTAATAAGAAAAAACCCTTAGTACGTCAACACAAAGGGCTACTATCTGGGAATCACATATTCTTCAATGACATCTTGTCACTCTATGTACCGATGTTAGTTGTTTTATTTAATTTCAGTAAAAGTCAGTAAATTTGCCTGCCTTCTTCAATGTGACAGCCCTTCAACCATGAGAAAAGGCCATTATCAACTTTCACCTCCAAGCAACACATGCTCAATATAATTTAAAACTGCATTTCAAAGGATGTAGTTTTGCAGCAGAGGGTATCAGTGCCCCATTATAACCTTCAGATTTTTTAATGTTCTCTAGCTATCTTCCAACTGCAGGTATCTATCTGCCTGAGAACCTCTCAGCTCTGTCCACATGTGTAGCAGATTAGAAGTGCCAGAAAATGAATATCCCCAGGAGCAGCCCTCAAGCAATGACACAGGAATTGGCATTTAAATACCCGGTTTCCTTTCCCTCTGGGTGGGATAATTCTGCATGTTCTTTACTATTTCCCAAAGTTTCCCTAAGGGAATAAACTAGTGACCCACCCACTACAGTAGATGGATTAATAATGATATTGGCTGCCTTCCCTCCCCTACCTCACTTCCCTACTTCCTCTTTCCTTACCAGTGTTTCCTCCATTTCCTGAACAAAGTCTTTGCACTTGAATCCTTGTCTCAGGGTCTGAGATACACACTAAGACATTCTGATATATGATCATTCCTAAGACATGACAGAATACTTAACACAACAGTCCCAAATCTGATCTGGATAGACTCATCGCCTTGTCTTGATTTAGAATACTATGCTTGTCTATGAGCACGCTTCCCAAGTTGCTTCATCTTATCTATGAGATACAGGCAAGACTGACCCTTTGTCATCTTCCCAACTCCATTCTTTTTGGTTTATTCACACATAGTTTCTCCTGCCTTTTTTCTCTCCCTTGAATCAGGCCTTTGGCAGTAATTTTGCCAAAATCTCTTTATTTTTATTTGCCGTCTGCTTATATTTCCCAGTTTTTTTCAATCCGATCACTTTACTACATTAGTTTAACCTTTAGAAATAATTCTTAATCTAGATCACGGAAAGGTAGAAATAAATTTAAGAAGGCTGTCACTGCACCTATTTGGGGCACAAAACCACACTTGAGGCAATATCCACCTCCTACCTGTTTAGTTACTCCAGTACTGGTTCACTCATTTCTCATATTTTATTGAGAATTTTAATATGAATTCCTTACACATCTATATTTCCTTTTTACTATATTCCTGACTTTTATGCTGGGAATCAAGCTGGCATTTAAAAAACAAAAAACCAGTTTTACAAATATAACCATTAGATCTACCTCCTCAGATCCAGAGTCATTAAAGATATAAGGTTCCTGGTAACTACCCACAGTTCACAGATATATGGGTATCTGATGTTATTTTGACCTGTAAATGTTCAAGAAAACTTGTTAATTATCCAAAGTAGATGTACCTGATTCCACACCCATAAAACCATACTCTATATTATTGTTCTGGCAGAGTCCACAGTAAATGAAGGACAGCAGCTCTCTCTACCAATTAAAACTGCACTTAGCAGGAGACCTATAAACAAACAGGGAATTCTCTCTAACCTATTCAGTTCATATTTAATTTGACTAAATTTCTACCATGTTCTGCAATATTCTAATCATTTAAAGGGGAAAAAAGGGTCTGACCTGAAAACCTGGTATCAGAAAGTACTATCAGAATCTAATTTTAATATCAACTCAGGTTAATTCAAGTCCGAAGGAAAAAAAGAACTCAGCAGTCTTTAGTGGTACCACACTTCAAAAGGGAAATGATTAAAGCAAAGAGAACCACAGCAAAGTCACAAGATGAATTATTCTACTAATATAAGTCTTCATTCTAGGATATAAATATCTACCACAAAATATATTTTTATAAAAGTTTTCAACCAGCATACCTCAAATCTCACCACCTCAAAAGTCACACCCCTCACACAACTTGTTTAAGATCAGGAATTAAGTCCAAATGAAGTGAAATAAATTCTCAAGAAGGGCTCAAATTGCCGAATAAAATAGGAATGCTATTGCTATACTATATAAATCTCTTCTTAAGCAGGCATTCAAAGAATAAGCAATAGGAGCTGGAGAAAGATTAAATATTTTAATTTTAATTCTATTCTTTATGCTGAGGAAGTCTTCCTTTTCTTTGGAATCCAATCCACTGTAGTCTATCTTATCCCTCGCTGACAAATTTGCTTTTGTAAAACTCAATTATGTAATTGTTACTATTATCTTTAGAGAAGAGGATAAGACTCACGGAGAGCTTTCCTCAAGTCCCTTCTCCACCACTTACAATGTGTCCTTGAGGAAATGATCAAATCTCTTCTAAGCCTACTTCCAAATAAGTAATAGTCTGAACCACAGTTTTATTTACAAAGACTGCAACCTTATAAAGAAAGAATAGTAACAGGAATTCTCAACAATGTTGAAAGGCATGAGATACTGCATTTAAAACACAGCACAGTGCCTGGCACCTAACAAGTACCCACTCCTACTACTGAATTAAGTTCTACCTCTTAAACTTATATTCAAGTTGTCTCAAAACTTATTTGTCCAGTCTTATGCATCTGTATTTTCTATACTCCAGGCAAACTGAACTGCTATTTTATTAGCACAATTATCATTTGTCATGTACTCATAGCTATGACAACTAAAATACTATGCATCTTTTAGAACCTACACGATCTCCACTATCCTACCGGAAGCCTATACTGAACCCCAGTGAAGACATCTCTTCTTCTATGAAATGACATAATCCTTCCTTTATACCTTATGGTATTTAACAATCTGTGATACAGTGCATATCATGCTTCAATTTCTCTCTTCTATAATGCCAGCTCATTAATCTGCAATATTTTGAATCGAGCGGCCTCCAACTTTCTTTGGTTATTTCACAGAAAGATCTGCTGACTCCATAAACTCAATGAAAACAGATATATGTGAACTCCAGAATATGCAAAGAATAGAAGAAAAAGTAATTATAATGTGGAAATTTAAGAACTGAATATGTATTTCATACCGGTATTCTGCTCCCCACCCTTTCACAAAACTCATTCGTATGGTGCACATTCTAGTTAGCTGATACACGGCTTCAAAACCCTGATTAACAGACTGAGCCAGAAGAGCAGCAAATTCCTGGTTGTTGAAGATCTTCAGATTACAGCCTATGGTTGAAAAAAAGTAAAAAAAAAATTGTGTAAAAAGAGTATCATTTCGGAAATACTTTTAAAAGGGGTACAGATATTAGAATACGAGCATGCAAATCATCTCCTGATTCCTAAAATTAACAGCAACTAGAAATGACAGGTTTATTTACATTTTTGTGTCCATACCTGGTGGAATTTTACACACTGTTGCAGGGTGCCAGCCGTATCTCTGATTACAATTGGGGCTCTGCACAAAGATTGCACTATCACTTAGGCACTCAGCAAAAACTTCCCCACCTATGTAATATAAGCGCACTCCTCTTCCTAAAACAAAATACATATGGAATTAGTTTTATAATATTTACTTTTTCAGCATGACTTTGGAAGAGTCTTCTTGGAGGAATACTAAAATAATATAAGGTATTTAGATGGCATTTTCCACAGCTGTGCTTTTCTGAAGTCTAACTTTGAAACAGCACTGTATATTTTCCCAAGTATTTTTTAACAATGATTTTATTGATTTGTAAAAATAATACATGCTTATCAAAAATATTTAAACAATGTATAAAAGTACATGGATAGTAAAATTAAAAAATTTCATACAAACTATATATTTTAAACTAAATAAAAGACATTGAGTTAATTTTGAAGGAATTAACTAATGTTTGGAGAAATATACCTTCATTATAATAAATAATATTTCCTTAAAGATCCCACTAAAGTTAAGAAAAAAGGGTAATAAAAATCATCAAGCTCTGGCTGGTATGGCTCAGCTGGTTGAGCACCATCCGTGCATCATAAGGTCACCAGTCTGATTCCCCAGTCAGAGCACATGCCCAGGTCGTGGGTTCGGTCCCTGGTTGGGATGTGTATGGGAGACAATCGATCAACATTTCTCTCTCACATCAATGCTTCTCTCTGTCTCCCTCCCTCTCCTCTTTCACCTAAAATTAATAAAAACATATTTCAAAAATTCATCAAAAGGTTAAAGAAAGGGAGATTATCTTTGGTGGGCCTGACTTAGGTGATACCCTTAAAGAAGACTGGGCTGTCCCTGGTGAAAGTGATTCACAGTGTGAGAGACAGTCAACACAAGAGACTCCATTGTTGACTATAAACACGGAGGGGGAGGTAGCACCTGGCAAGGAATGTAGGTATATTCTAGATGCTGACAATAGCCTTTAGCTGACAGTCTGCAAGAAATGAGGATCTCTGTGCTATAACTTCAAAGAAGTGAACTCCACAACAATCATGTAGTTGCAGGAGGACCTCAAGCTCTAGATGAGAAGGTAGCTCAGATGACACCTTGATGTCCCCTTGTGAGACCCTGATGAGACTCCTAAGCCATGCCGGGCATTCTGACCCGCAGAAACTGTGGGATAATAAATGTGTGTTGTTTCAGGCTGGTAAGCATGTGATAGTATGTTACAGTTAAAAAAAAAAAAATGAATAAAAGAACTAACAAGCCACATTTAATACACAAATACAAAAACTGGTGCCCTGTTCTCATATGACTACAGAATATGTGTTAAAAAAATAATCATTTACTTGCCCATCACAAAAGCATTAAAATAGTCATGTACTTGACCATCAGGAAAACATTAAGTCTAAAAGTAGAAAATTTTCAGGCTATATTCTTTGATAAAAACCACCTAATAAACTAGAAATCAAGAGTAAAAAGATAATCCAATAATTATGACAATCTAAAATTCGGCAGAAGTGAGCAAGGTACAGAAAAACTTCTGTTAAATTTTTATGCAGAACCCCAATTAAAGCACGGGAAAAAACAGATACATTTTAGTTAAAGTAGGGTAGATATGCAGAGGCCTTCCCACCTACAAGATACTTCGGTACCCTAACAAGACATGCAGAATTTAAAAATCAAGCAAGATTTGAGAAATTCCACAAGGAGCTAAATAACAACAGACCTCTTAAATCCCTAACACTTTATCACACTCACTCTTTAGTGATCAGTATTAATTATCATAGGAGGTGATAGTTCATTAAAAAGAAAAAGGACATGACAGTTAAAAGAAGTTACTTTAAAGTGATGAGAACTATGTTCAGTCACATCAGTGGTGCTCAAACCTTTTTTTTTAAACTTAAGTCAATAAAAAAAAAAATACTGAAGACCCCAAAAAGTTCTTGTTTATGTGGATTCCATCTACGAAAACTTACCATACTAGATATCAAAACTAAGATTCAAAACATTTATTAATTCATTTAAAAATCAAATAAACCCACTACATATTAACATAAATGTTTATAAAAAATAACTTTTCCAAAGCAAAAAAAAAAAATTTAGTGAGAAGAGAAGCAATGTATTTTCACAAATCTTTTTATTTATTTATTTTTTTATCCTCACCCAAGGACATTTTTCCATTTTTTTGTTCAGATAGAGTGGGAGGGAAAGAGAGGAAGAAAGAGAGAAACAATGATGTGAAAGGGACACATCGAGTGGCTGCCACCCGCACAACCCAACCAGGGCCGGGAACAAACTGCAACCGAGGTACATGCCCTTACCAGGAACCGAACCCAGGTCTCTCAGGACTGCAGGCCGACGCTCTAACTGCTGAGCAAAACCGGCCAGGGAAGAAAATCTCTTTAATGTCTGACTTAAAAGAGTGCTGGAACCTCATCACTCTACAGTTCATCTCTTGCAAGATCACATGCCATACAGCCTCTGAATATTCCACTGTGCATGCGAGAGAATGGGAGTGGAAAAGGCAAAGAGCATCCTAGTACCATTATAAAAAACGTTTTGACTTCACAAACTTGCTGAAAGGCTGTTGAGACTACCATACTTTGAGATCTTCTGAATTCCTTTTTGAACTTCATTCAGTAGTAGTTCATGTTTTAGATATCTTGCTTCGGATCAACAAGGAGATTTAACATATAAACTCTCTGAAGGGGGTAACAAACTAGGAGATGTATACAAACAAAAAAATTCACCATTTATTCAAAAATATCGGAACATGACAATTTTGTGACTGGTAGAGACTCATTTTAACACCTATTTATTGAAGAACCTGCCGGTACTAACGGTGCCAAATGAAGAGAAGCCGAAGAGAAGTTTGCAGACGGAAGGATCACCAAGATCTATGAAAAGCAGTGAAGCTGTGTACTGAAACTGACAGTGAGAAGGCAAGCTTTTCTGTACACAATCTCTTGGTGTGGTAAACCACATAATGCTCACATTATGAGTATATGCCACTGGTTTTTCACACAAGGAAAAAACAAAACAAAACAAAACATACCTATGTGTCTTCTTGTCATTTCTACTGTAGCATTTCGGTTGACGTTGGAGAGTAAGCCTAAGCAGAACCTCTCTGAATTTGATGGATCTGTGAAGCCATCTACAGTGAGTGAGGGCTGTGATGCATGGAAGGTCTCTCCAACCCTCTGGTTTAATTCATAATAGGCTATTGAACACCAAAATGCAGGTTCTGAGTAAGTAACTGGTTGTAAATCTGGGGGAGAAAAACCAAACCCGTAAGAGCAAGAAATGCTGTGTGAACAATTCAAGCCAAGAATAGACTGAATATTACCATCTTTACATGCTCTATGCCAGCCTATCCTGGCAACTGCTCAGGAAGTAGACCTAACATCTACATCACAAACTCCAATCTCCATAGATCATACCAGAGTTTCTATTGTTCAATCTCCCCCATCTTCATTAAGTCATCCAATCTTCAACCCTCTTTTTCTTGGCTTTATGGGGGATCATTTTTTCTCCTACTAGTTTTAGACTAGCTCCTGTTCAAATAGAAAACCACCCTAGATAAAGCAAATCAATTTGCATCATTTAAAGAAAATTTGACCATTTAGAATAAATTCCAAATATGTCAATAGAAGAGAAATTATGAAATAGCAAAGTAAAATAAAGGCCAAAGATAAACTATAGAATGTGTGTGTGTGTCTATATATGCACACAAATATATACACACATTAGCTCTCACATATACACAGTCCCCCAAAACCACATGCACATATTTGTGGTATGAGTATATCTATATATTTATATACACATTTCTTATATTAATTACAAAATATGCCCAGCCCTGGTCAGTTTTGCTCAGCGGTTAGAGCGTCGGCCTGCGGTCCAGAGAGACCTGGGTTTGGTTCTCGCTAAGGGAACATACCTCAGTTGCAGTTTGTCCCCAGCCCTGGTTGGGTCGTGCGGGTGGCAACCACTCGATGTGTCCCTTTCACGTCGATGTTTCTCTCTCTCTCTCTCCCACTCTCCCTCCCTCTGAACAAAAAAAACAAAAAAGAAAAAATGTCCTTGGGTGAGGATTAAAAAAACAAAATTTACAAAATATGCCCAGATGGCGTGGCTCAGTGGATTGAGCATCATCCCATGGTTTGAGAGGTCCCGGTTCGATTCCTGATCAGTGCACATGCCCAGATTGCAGGCTCGATTCCCAGTAGGAAGCATGCAGGAGGCAGCCAATCGATGTTTCTCTCTCTCTCTCTCCTTTCCTCTCTAAAAAAAATAAATAAATAAAAACCTATTTATAAAAATAGTAATAATTACAAAATATATCATTTCAAAAATCTAGTCATAATAGATCATAAAATTTACCATCAATAAAGATTACGAGCCCTGGCTGATATGGCTCAGCAGTTAGAGCGTGCGTCAACCTGCGGACGAGAGTCCCAGGTTCATTTCCCACTAAGGGCGTGTACCTTGCTTACAGTGTGTCCCCACCCCGGTTGGGGTCATGTGGGTGGCAACCAGTCAATGTGTCTCTCTCACATTGATGTTTCTCCTCCCCCACTCCTGCTCTATCTGAAGATAAATGCAAAAATGTCCTCGGGTTGAGGATAAAAAATAAATAAATAAAGATTATAATTTCCATGAACAGATTATTTTCTTATACTAAGTGCCAGTAGAAAAGAGGTTTAGTAATATTGAGGACCATTACTAATACCATTTTTTAAAAACACTAATTTGAATAATTATTTTGCACTTTATTGGATTCCCTCTCTCATATTTATATATATATGAAATATAACCAGAGAAGACATTTAATTAAGTGACACAGTATGAAAAAAAAGTAGGGAAAAAATAATTGCAACTTACCCAAACTATGATTAACAGGGGAAAGAGTAGTAGGAGATAGTTCTGCTGGAGATCCTGAAATAAAAGGAATTAATTTAAAAATAGAAGTAAAAGTATTTCCAGAACTTCTGATCAAATAACAATAAAATAGGTGATAATTAATTATCACAAGTAATACGTAGATAATTTACATCCAAGAATTAAAACTATATAGCTGCTTGGCCCTGCCCAGGTAGCTCAGTTGGTTCAAGTGTCGTCCTGACATGCTAAGGTTTCGGGTGAGATCCCTGGTCAGGGCACATAAAGGAATCAACCAATGAATACATAAATAAGTAGAACAACAAATCAATGTTTCTCTCTCTCTCTCTCTCTCTAAAAATCAATAAATAAAAATTAAGCAAATACATACAGCTGTTTTATTGTGAGTGCAATTTTGGAGGCTTCAATATATAAAAGGTAAGAGAATGTAAAACAGTCCTGGCTTCTAGCCACAGAGTTCCCCTTCCCAAAGGCTTCCAGAAATAATCTATGAACCATACAAGCAAATATATTCTGTTCTGTGCCTCCCACTCTTTATATACAAACTACACTTTACTTTTACGTCATTTCTATCAGCAATGTTGATAGGTTTCCTTTTAATCACTTATCTGTATATTAGTTGCATAACATTACATTATGGTATATTACAATCTCATATGAATGGATACTAAGGCTATTTTCAATCCTTTGAAAGACTGAAATGACTAATTTCAATCTTTCAAAAGATTGGAAGATTGCAATGACTAATCTTGCACATTTGCATACTTTCAATCACATCTGAAGGACAGACTTAAAAGAGAAACTGCCAGGTCAAAGGGCTGTGGTTCTATAATTTTGATAGATTTTGCCAAAATTGTTATCTATAGAGCTTATACTGGATTGCATCCCCAGTAACACAAATGGTGAAGGAATGCTTGTGTGTTGTTATTGTTAAAAGGTGAGAACATGGTCTTCACAAGCATAGTTTTAATCTGTTTCTCTTATAAATGACATTGAGTAGCTTTAACCTTGTTTATATTGTATTTACTTTCTGTGAATGGTCTGTTCTTTTGTTCACTTTTCTAGTGTGGTGTTAATCATTTTTCTCACTGATCTAAAGAAAGTTCTTTATGTGTTAGGGATCTTAGTCTTTTCATGCTATCAGTTGCAAATATATGACTCTTCATCCTAATTCTGATAAAGCAGTATTAAAAAAACTTTTATGTGATGCAATTTAGCAATCACTTTGGGATATATCACACTTTGATGAAACAGTGGTGACAGTGCAGTGGATATTCTGTCTTACTCTTAACTTAAAGAGAATACTTCTAGGATTTTCCCATTAAGTATAATTCTGGCTCTGACGATGAGAGAGATAACACTGCTTATTAAGGATTTTGCATCAATACTCTCAAGCAATACTGGTCTACAGATTTATAATGCGAGTGCAATGTTATGCTACTTCATAATTACAATCTAGAAATTGCATGTTCTTCCTATGCACTGTAACAGTTTAAATAGCATATTAATAACACATTCCTTAATAGTTTGGTAGAAATCCTGTGTGAAATTGTTTATAGTTATTATTTTTGTAGGGTTTATTCTAAGACATGTCTCTATTTTTTCTATGAAAGCTGACAAGATAGCTCTATTTTCTAGAGTCAGTTTGGTTAAGTTATATTTTCTTAGAAAATTACTCATGTCTTCCAGTTTTAGGTAAACAGGCTAACTCTAATCAAGAAAATTATAAATTATGTTTTCTGATCATCACTCTCTATACCTTTTGGGAAAGTCACCTAAAAGAACATGACCTACAGTTCCCAAGCCTCAAATATACAACAATGGCATGAATGTAGAGTAAGACAGGTCAGATACCCTTGTTTACCCTCTCCTCCCCCACACATCATTATAACCATAACATAAAATACAGCACAAGTGAAATGGTAACCCCCAGATAAAACAGATGAATCAAAAATAGAGAACAAGTGGTACTGAATTTTTAGAAGAGAAAACAGTCTTCCATAACAAAATTAAGTTTTTATGTTCTTTTTTGTTCCTCATTTTGAAAACTCTGTTGGCAGTCCCAACAGGTACAACTAAGAAAGGTCAAAATATATTTAGAACAATGAAGTAAAACTCACTGCTGTTTCCTGAAGCTGTTATAAAATAAACAAAGCCACTATTAGACATGGAGGAAACTGCCCAACTTTTCATTTTTAACTGTTTTCTCTTCTATTAAATACTTATCAGAAATGAGCAGTAGTTACAGTTCATTAATTCTTCTTTAGACTAATAGGAGTTTGGTCAGGTGTGATAAAAAATTATAGATTACAAAAAGAAAGGTTCATTATAATTATATAAAAAAATTTTTTAAGTTAAATTAAGGTAACAAGTTATTAACAGAAGTTTTTAGAAACATTTTTTAAAAACAAACACAGTTAATTCATAATTAACCTACTATTCATATAAACATGCGCTACTAAGATCTAGAACTTCCTTCCTGTTATGAGAAGTAAAAAATACCCTATTTCACTAGTTTGAGTCAGCAGTTTCCGTTAGTTGTAGCTAAAACATCTAGAGAGACCCTTGTGTATGTATCTTTGTATACAAGCTCTACGTTATTCTCTAGTATTATCTTGCACACAATACCCAGTATCTAGTGAAAGAAAAAACACAGGACTGCAAAGAAGAAAAACCTGACCCATAATCAAAAGAAAAGTCGACAGAAGCTGACCTACATATAAACCAGCTACTGAAATAAACAGATTAAGAGTTTAAATGAAAACTGTAAAACTGAAATATAGATGCTGTAAAATGAATTAATTCACCATCTTAACAGCAGACCATAAGTTAGACCCACATACACATTATCACTTGATTTTCACCAAAGAAACCAAAGTAAATCAACAGACAAAGAAAAGTCTGCAATAAATGATGCTAACACAACTGGATAAATGTCTATTGCAAAGGAACAAAGAGCAGCCCTGAACAGTTTGTTCAGTGGTTAGAGCATCAGCCTGAGGACTGAAGGACTGCAGGTTTGATCCCCAGCCTGATGGGGCACATTTGAGAGGCAACCAGTCGATGTGTCGTCTCTCTCATATCAATGTTTCTCTCTCTCTCTCTCTCTCTCTCCCCTCCCCTCCCCCTTCCTTTCTCCCTTCCACTCTCTAAAAATCAGTGGAAAAAATATCCTCAGGTGAGGATTAACCAAAAAAAGAAAAGAAAAGATAACAAATGAAGAGCAGAAATGGTAAGTATGGAGGTGCAATATTCTCCTAATTCATGATTGAACTTTCCATGGTTTTAGTTACCTGTGGATACAAATCATCCCTCTGTGCAGCATATTTATCCACACTATATATACTACCTACTCATTAGTCACTTAGTAGCTGTTGGGGTTATCAGATGGACTGTTGTGGTATTGCAGTGCTGGTTTTCAAGTAGCACTTATTTTAGTTAATTATGGCCCTAAACACAAGAATAGCAATGCTGGCAATTCAGATATACCAAAGAGAAGCCATGGAGTGCTTCCTTTGAGTGAAAAGGAGAGTACAGTAAGATATTTTGAAGAGGCCACATTCACATATTTTTTATTACAGCATATTGTGATAATTGTTCTATTTTATAATTACATTGTCGTTAACCTCTTACTGTGACTAATATAAATTAAACTTTAAGTATGTATGTACTAGAAAAAAAATATAGTACATATAGGGTTCTGTATCATCCAGTTTCAAGCACCCACTGAGGGTCTTGCAACATATTCCCTGAGGATTTGGAAGGACTACTGTATATTCATCTTACTATCTTACCACAGTTCAGCTATATTATAAAATAGGCATTTGTGCACTAATTGGAATCCTTAATGGCCTTTTGTGTTTGGCTTCTTTCACTTAATGTAATGCTTTCAAGGTTCATCCACGTTGTACAATGGATCAGTACTTCATTCCTTTATATAGATGAATAATATTCCAATGTATGGATATAACTAATTTAATTTTTTGATTCATCATTTGATGGATAATTGGGTTGCTTCCACTTTAACATGAACATTTGTCTGCAAGTTTAGCATGGTTGTGTACAAATTTACTTTTCAATTTTCTTGGGCATGCATCTAGGAGTGAAATTGCTAGGTTATATTATTATTCTAGATTTTAATTCTGAGGAACAGCAAATTTTTCCAAAGCAACTGAACTATTTTATACTCCCACCAGAAGCATATGAAGACTCCAACTTCTCCATATCCTCATCAACACTTGTTACTGTCCTTCTTTTTTTCTTATAACCATTCCAGTAAGTGTGAAGTGGTATGTCATTAGTTTCATTTGCATCTCCCTGATGGCCATCACGGCGTTCACTTTTAAATGTATAGTTGCAGTTGTCCATCATGGGGCAAGCAGGAGCATGGCTGATTCAGGAATATAGTTCTTCAATATACAGGTGTATTGAAAAGATATATTTGGAAAGCCAAATATCATTTGCATTAAGATATATAACAAGTTATTTCCAATAATCATTAGATTATCTTTCTTGGTTATCTACTACTCTGAACAGCTGTAAGTATGATTAGCCAAACAAATCTAAATAATGGAAGAATTTAAACAACAGAATTATTGTGTAAAAGTCTACCCACCCCCAACTTTCTCACCGCCACCAATGTTAATTCATTTAAAAATAACTTAGATGATGCCCTGGCCAGTTTGGCTCAGTGGTTAGAGCGTCAGCCTGCGGTCCAGGGAGACCCGGGTTCGGTTCCCGCTAAGGGCACGTACTTCGGTTGCAGTTTGTCCCCAGCCCTGGTTGGTCGTGCGGGTGGCAGCCACTCGATGTGTCCCTTCACATCGATGTTTCTCACTCTCTCTCCCTCCCACTCTATCTGTACAAAAAATGGAAAAATATCCTCGGGTGAGGATAAAAAAATAAAAAATAAAAAAATAACTTAGATGATCATAACTGCAGAATGCTTTACTATAAACTATAGAAAAGTGATGAAATAATCTGTTAGTTTATAATATTAAGGTGTCCAAGCCTTAAGACACTGACAGGTTGGAATGTATCAAAACAGATGATTACAATAACATCACAGCTATTTCACAGGCAACCTATTAGTTCTGGTAGGTTGTACATTATTACACAACTGTTTTAAAGCGTTGATGTGTATAATATTTATTATTAAATATTATTATGTTAAAACCTTTTCTCCATTGTGTTTGAAGTCAATAGCTAAATATTAGAAATTAATTAAATTAGGTGAGGTACAAGATATTTTTTGTAAACAATCTACTGTAATTCAGAACCCACTCTTCTGTTAAAGGAGCAATAAAAAGCTGAGTCCCATCCCTTACCTCCAAATTCCTCTGAAAATCTGTTATTGGGCTAATTATGGTCTTTCATCACAAAAATATTCATAGGATAAGTAAAACTTTCAACATAAGCACGGAATACTTAAAAAGAGAAGTATCCGAGTGTCCTCAGATTTTTATGTACTGTAACAAGGGAAAATTCTATCAACTATTCTTCTGAGCAGCGTATGTTAATTTTTCATGGACAACAGAGCCCTTTGATGGTTCAGATATAATTAGATCAAGATAAAAAAATTATTTTTGATGTGTCCAAATTCTGTGCACTTAAGAGTTATGAATAACTCATGTGAATTTCAAACAATGCAAAAATGGTTATCTAATTATTGAGGGACTTTGAAAGATGTTTTTACCTGTATCCATACTTTGGTTCAACTGTTGATCACTTGTTTCTCCATCTTCACTGATATATCCAGGAGGTGGCGTTTCTACAGAGGTTTAGAACAAATCAAGTACAGTTACAATTTAATTTCATCTTTTCTCCCAGCTACTAAAGATAACCAACAAATTGCTCCGAATAACAAACATAAATGTTATATAACATCATTATGAAAAGCAGTTTTGGACAATAAAGAGCTTGGGATTCAAATTCTGCTCCAAATCTTATAGGTAAATCCTTAAAGCCTACTTGAAATACAATTGAGCTCTCTGGGCATATTTTCTTAGCTATTATTTACATATCTGGCTCATTCTCATATGTATATTTTCTGGGGCAAGAGCCAAAAATATAACTTCAAAGATGCCTGGATCAGTATACTTTAAAGATATTAGTACCTACAATGTTTTGGGGTTTGTCTGTTGTTGTTGTTGTTGTTTTAACTAATGGCCATTGTGGATGAGTACCTAGATAATTAAAGGAGGTTCCTCTCCTATCCCCCTCCCATCTCTCCCCACACACGATTTCAGATGATAGAGTAATACAGGCTTACATCTCCAACTAAGTTTTATAGAGTTAAATATGGTAATATAGTTCAGGACTGGTCTAGCTTGAATTCTAACCCAAAGGTATATTTTTCTAGAGATTTTTAACCAGGAAGTTCTGAGCATTAAAGCAGAAAATTAAATTCAAACAGACTATTGCACAAAACTGAGGCAAAATACTATCTGAAAATAAATAAGATTCTAGTGTATCATTTCCAACATGTTTTATAAACAAAATATTTATTCAGGAGGCATCTGAATACCTGAATGAGTTTCATGTAAAATAAAAACATTTATACAGTTTTACCAATTATAATTTCAAGAATGAAAAATAAGTTTAAATGATTATCAAAAGTTTAATATATACATTGCTGGACAGTTTTAAGCAATTCAAATAATGCAGACACATACTTTAAAAGAATTTTGTAATTACAAAAGGAGGAGAGAGAAGATGTGGGTTAACAGTTTTCTTCATTAACGCTTTACAATCTTCCGTCAATTAAGCTAACTACAAATTTTAACTTCTTAATATCAAACTTTTCATTCAAGTGTCAGTACCCCAACATTTAAGACTGAAATTCTAAGAATAAAACAAAATATCTTCATATATTCAATCAACAAGGAACATGAAAATAATGTATATAATTATGCACTATTTCAAAGGTTAAAAAGCTGATAAAATTAAACAGAGCTAAGCTTTGCCAGTCTAACTGCCTATGTCTCAAAGGTCTAAATAGGAAGAAATACTTTTAAATATTTTACCCTATTTTAATTTTCTCCATTATTATTTATCTATAAAATAATAATAAAGCTAGTAGCATTTTGGAGAAAAAGTTAAAATTTCTTTTGAAGTGGAATAAAAAGTGAACCCTTAGGTTTTGCTATCAGTCAGAGCTGGGTAAACCCCACTGTCTAGAAAAACAAATACATATGATCCACTTTTGATTTTCTACTTTGTAAAATACCCAAATCTAAACCAATAAAGGAAAAACAAGTTTGAACATCTCCACAAGTGAAAACATTTTGATTTACACCCCTCCAAATAAGTATCTGATATGTGGTCTTATAAGACTGTATGCTTACTTACACTTCAGTTTCCTAGTATTGCTAAGTAAGTTCCACTTCAAAGACTTAAAATGCCTCCCCTTCCTCACGCCACACACACAACTTTATTTCCAGTCAAATTCTGCTCCCTAGGAAATGTCCTGTTTTAGCCGTTTCCCTTCTCATTCTAGCCTTCATCCTGCAATCTACTCTACATACTACCTTCCTAAACTTCTCAAAAAATTTGTTTCCTAGCAATCCAAAAGGCAGCCTTAAATTCCTCTTTTGGAATAAAATAGTAATCAAAGAAATGCACATTAAAACAATCAGAAGACACTGTCTAACTTTAAAATTAGCTATTTTGAAAAATCCTTGTTTTAAAATTTGTCTTTAAATGAACAGGCATTATTTCCATGATGAGATACATCAAAGAAATATTTTTTATGTACTTGAAACTCTAAGTTCCTTACATATTTTCAGCTGTATAAAAATAAGAGTGAGATAGAAGAATATTAGAAAAGGAGAAAAAATTAACACCAAAAAATCCAATGTGTAGCTTAATCCCCATCCTAATATACCGTTAAAGTTTCTAGTTTCTGCTGGGGGGGAGGGGGAGCAGAAAAGTGAGAAAACATTTGTTTTTCTCCTAAAAAAATTGTGAAAATTAAAAAGGTAGGTAGCTACCTTCATGGAATATGTTGCTGGATCATGTAATACAACAATTAGAGCAGGAGTTACTGAGGCCCAGATGAAAAAGAACCAAAGTAGAGGTTTTCTGATTTTCAGTACAATATAGGTATTGCTAAGTCTGTAGAACTAAAATACTTGCTCTCCTATAGAAATGTTATGTCTCTCTTAAACATTATCTATGAAGTAATTATTTGGTCAATTTTTTAATCACATTTGTTTTAGGAATAGTTTTCTCCTGTATCATTTATTTTGCTTACATTCTATATCTCTCTTAGCTTCAACAACTAAGACAAACTTACTAAGATCTTTTCTTTTCTGCTTCTCAGAGTACTTTGATTAAAGCCACTGCAAAAGAAAATAAAATATAAAGTAAAACTTTTCTCCACACTAAAATGTTTAAAGTACTAGGTTTATACATTTCACAAAAAATAATCACCCAACAGAGCATATTTTTCTATTTAAAATCCAAAAGCATTTTTCAAAAACTCAAACCATAGTTTACGAATATTTGAATGTTTATGAACAAAATTTGTACCTATCCCAATTTTTAGGAGATTCAGGAGGCAAAAATACCTGGGATGTAATTACTCTGTGGTTCAATTCCCGCTGGGAAATTAGTGTTTTCTGGAATGGAGTGGGTATAATCATCCAAAGGTGGTAGTTCTGTTAGGATCTCAGTGTGCCGTGGCACTAACACAGGAGGCAAAACTGAAAATAAAAACAATCCAAATTAATGGCAAGGAGCAAGAGACAGGGAACAGGATCTTTATTAAAAGTTTTCACATAAAAGAAGTCTGCTTAATTTTTTAAATTTAGGGCCCACCTATTTCGTATCATACAAGTTATTAAGTAATTGACATTTCTGATTATGATTTCAACTTACTATATAGTTCACAATCAAAATTTCCAAGACTCAATTTATCTTGTACTTTTGGGTACAATGTGATCCTGGTAACATTATATTACCATAAAAATTCAAAAATCCCCATGGGAAAGGTTGCAAAAAGATTCGTTAATATCAGGTTTAGGGTATTTTCTAAAAATAAAGCTTAAAAAGTTTCAAGTACACATTTAAGTAAACATAATGTCTTCCTATGAGTTTTACTAAATTGCTTATATAGGAATGATGTCATTAAAGTATTAAAAAAAAAAAAAAAAACACTCAGAGAGCAAAATGACTGAAAACAGTTAATGCAGCAGATAGGTAAACAGATTCATCAGCTTATTTCTGAGCCAAATGGAATTTCCTATATATGTACTTTGATGTGAACTATCTTTGCCACTAAAATATATTTTCCATAAAATATTTTTTAAAAAAAATTTTTTAAGCATTTTAATGACCACCAAATAATACACTGAACTGAAGGTAATTTATTAGAATTTTATACAAAAATTTCCTTGGGTCAATTAGGTATCAGAGTACCTAATATACTTAAGTTCAAACATTTAATTTAAAAAAATAAAAATAAAAACTACTTTTCCTACCTGGTGTCTCAACTCTCTGGTAGTGGTAAGGGTTTACACATACTTCATCCTTTTTAAGATTAAAAGCATATTCGCAGTTTTCAATTGCTTTGAGTTCATGATGACTGTGAAGATCAGGCCAGCGCCATAATCGGCAATATATAACGTGTGGCAGTCCTTTCCGGTGAGATACCTGAAGACGACCATCAAGAGACCTATTGGAAAGCAAGGGGAAAAGAAAGGTGGGAGCTTTAAAAAAACAGAAATAGTCATTTGGATTAGATTAGTAAAATAAAAGCATAGAGAAAAGAATGACAGACATTCAGTTAGTTTTAGTGAGTACAAGGAAGAAAAATGTACTATTTAATGAATCTGACATAAAAGAAACCACCAGCTCTAGCAGATGTTTTTTAAAATGTGCTACGCAAATGACTCAAGTGTCAGTGAAAGGCTAGTCATTTGGGAAAAAAAGATTTTTAAAAGAATCATATAGTTACACTTGAAAAACTTTCTGTCAACTTTTGTCTTTAGCAAACCAAACTGTTATTTAGAGATTCTTTTAGGGGCATTAATTCTGTGGGTTACTAAATTACCAAAAAAAGGAACTACTGTGAAGAATGGTAAATACCAACAATAATATAAAACTTACTCAAACTAATATAACTCGTTACCCAGTTGTAATTGTGTTGAATACTGAGGTATATTTCCATAGCTCACACATAAATGCAGATGGTGATGAATTTGATGAGATGAAACAGACAAATACCAATATGCTCAAAAAGAGAATGAGATGATTTAAAAATAACATAAAAAAACAAGTTAGCCTCATATTAATTGTGTTCAGTAATCAACTATGTATTTATTAGTATACAGATGAGATTTAGATGATAGCAAGAGATTTAGCAAAACTTGGTTATGTATCTATTTAAAAATTAGGCCAACAACAGATCTCAAACTGAAATGAGAATATAGTTATCAAAGTTCCTATTTTTTAGGGGATGCAATAATTTAAATATTCAAAATTAGAATTTCATTGATCAAAACGTCAGCTGAAACATTTAATATACTTTTAATACTGGCAAGCAGGTATTTTACATGCTATGCCTTATTTTACATTAAGGTAACATCCTAGACAAAATGATACTAAGCAACCCATTATAGGTCTTCCAAAGCACCCCCACACACACACACAAGATCGCTAGGATTTCACAGAGGGCAGAATATTCACCTGGTTTGTTCAGAGAAGCTGTAAAGGCCTGTTGTATCCCACTGATCTATCGTATTTGGTGTACTCAGTCCCCAAATTTCAGAGCAAGTGCTGTGCATAAATTGAAAAACAAAAAATTGATGTGAACATGGAAGCATGGTTATTCAAAATACCATGATGTAAAACATGAAAAATGTACAGAATACTTCCTTCACCCAGAAAATATACATTGTTTCACTTTTTCACAGGTATTTAGTGCTGGTTTCTATATTTTCTATATGAAGGAAGCCAATAAAATGGAACATGTGACTCCAGAGAAGTTATGGTTATGTTTTTAAAATGTGGAACACCAATGCTCTCTAGCTTAATGAAATCATACCTATAATGTCCTTTTCAATTTCCTGTACTCACAACAAAAGATCTAATACCTATGCCATTAGCCTTACTAATAACAGTGCTTCATTTTATAATACAGTTTTTTTTAAAAACTTAAACATGAATGTCAACTGGTATTTTTAATGTAGAAAAATTCCAATTAAAGCAAACATATCCACAGTTAAGATTTTCAAGTTATCTGAGATACTTATATATTCAGTTTTACAGAAAGTATTGCTCTTTTATCACTACAAAGGACAAGAAAGTAGATTTTGAAGTCATTCAGATGTAGCAGAGCACCTTAGAAGTTTTAAGAAATTTCATGAGGACTCAAGCTATATGAAAACACCAAACTCTTAAACGATAGTATGACTGTGAAAAATGAACTGCATCTAGTTTGTTGTTGTTTTAAATCAGTACACCTGAAAGACACAGACTAGAAAGAACTCAAAAATTTTCTCCCACATTCCTTTCCAGAACCTGGGCAGTCCGTAGATAATTCTCCTTGTTTCCCTGCTACTATTTCATTTCACAGTAACTTCTTATCTATGGGAAAAGGGAAGAAAAGGAGGATCTTAAAGGTAGTTTGGAATGGAACTTTTGACCGCCAAGGTGTCTCAGGTCCTAGTTTTACTTTTGAACATTAGAGTCAAAAGAGGTAATTACTGCAACTCAATTTCATTTCTTATATACTACAATCATCAAAGGAGGAGATAAAACATATAAAAACTTTTAAGAATAAAATCAAACAAGTGATTAAATTCTAGATGTACACACTGCTAATGAATGAGCTAACTCAACACTTCAAAGGGCAATGGTGAAAAAGTGCTGTCCTTTTGTGGCTGGGCAATACACATCCATCTCCTGGGGTGCTGGGCTGCAGTACTAGTACTACAGGGCCTCTTGCATAGCCAATGAGATGCAGAAACATCTCATGCCATGCTTTGGGGCTACAGTTACTATAATACTGGACAGTTTTTTGCAATGCATTTTTGAACATTCTCCAGCACCTTGAGGTATTTTACAGCTTCTCTAGCTTTTTAGGCTGCAGATATCTTTCATTTCCCAATCTGCAAAAGTTAGGAAAATCCAAAAAACTGGTAGATAATTTAGACCTTTTCGTTTTTCCACAAAGGTGTACTGACTTACAAAATAAAAAACCATAAAATAAATGGTTCTTTTATTTCAAGATAGTTATCAACCATATAGCACCATGTAGTTTAAATCGCCATAAAATCGTCACTAAATTCTACAGTTCTGTGAATCTGAATTTAAACCTCAGAAGGAATAGTACACAACTTATTCTTTCTTGGATAAAAATTTAAGAAAAGTGATTAACAAAAGAACAGATCAAGAGGCTATTCTGCTCTTATGGAGACTAGACTGCACACTTGACTTCAGTAGCTCTCTGGGACTGATCAGAATCTAAAAGAGAGCTTAAGCCCTGGCCGGTTTGGCTCAGCGGTTAGAGCGTCGGCCTGCGGTCTGGAGAGACCCGGGTTCGGTTCCCGCTAAGGGCATGTACTCCGGTTGCAGTTTGTCCCCGGCCCTGGTTGGTCGCACGGGTGGCAGCCACTCGATGTGTCCCTTCACGTCGATGTTTCTCTCTCTCTCTCCCTTCCTCTCTCTCCCTCCTACTCTATCTGTACAAAAAATGGAAAAATATCCTCGGGTGAGGATTAAAAAAAAATAAAATAAAAAAAAATAAAAGAGAGCTTAAGTTGTGCTATATTCAAGTGTTGTTATAAATAGAGAATAATAAATAGCAGTTGTTTAAAACATGTAATCAATCTATAGGCAGACAGACCTAAATCCCAACTCTAACTCAGACACTTTCCAATTGCCATCATAGGGACATTAAGCCTCAATTCTATCCACTATCATATCTCTCACAAAATTGGGGCATTTGTTCTAAAATAAATTTGCTTCTGGTTAGTAACATTTTTCTTGTTTGCATAAGAAAAATATTCTTAAAATTCATAACAAAATATACAAAGCCCCTAAAAATAATGTAACTATGTGTTAAACCTCAGAATTAACATTTTAATTATTACCAAAGAACACAAAAGTAAACAAAGCAAAAATAATACATCTTCCTACAAAGACACCACATAGTGACATCAATTCTGACAAATTCATATAGTTGATGCAATCTCAATTAAATTTTAATAAATTTTTAACCCAGACAAAATTATTCCAAAAATAACATACAAGAATAACATACTTAAATCCTCCATAATGAAACCAGTATGCAATTAGCAAATGAATACACAAGCAAAACAAAATAGAGGTTCTGCAGGTAGAGAAGCCTCAATTAGACAAAACTTTCTTTGGATCAAAAGGATAGCCTCTGAACAGAATAAAATCAACTATCTGAAAATATAATAAAATCAACTATCTAAAAAAAGTGGACACCAAAAGCAGATAGATAAAAAATTGAAGTCAACCTCTGTAAGAAGGAAAATGTATTGGATGAGAGCTGTGTTTATGTGTCTTTCTACAACTAAGGGTACTCCACAATCTATACTAGGCAAAGTAGTTAAACCTTGCGCCAAAAACTGCAGTTTTACTGACCAGCAGAATCAAACAAAGGAATTGGAAAAGGGCTGAAAAAAGAAAGGGAAAATCCTGTAAAGAAGGGAGCAACAAGGGTGAAAAACATCAATATATAAGTGCGAACTCAGCCTAAATCCTTGACTGACCCCTAAATTACACATGAAGGAGAGAAGGCGGAGGCCTGCTGAGAACCAGCACTTGGAAGTCCGAAAGAACTAAGCTGAGAACCAGCACTTGGAAGTCCGAAAGAACTAAGCTGAGATTTCAACTGTTACTTACATCAGAGACAGTGTGGACTCTGGGGTCACCCAAAACTATCAACACTCTTCAGAGGAAGGTAACAGAATTTAGAGTCTCCACAATGTTCTGTCCCCAGAATCCACTATAAAACCACAAATTACTAAATATGTGAGGAAATAGGAAAATGTTACTCCTTAGTCAAGAGAAAACAGCCAGTAGAAACAGACTCCCACAATGAACTAACAGGCAAGTATTTTACAGTAACTATTATGAATATGTTCATGAACTTAATGAAGAAATGGGAATCTCAACTGAATAATAGGATCTATTCAAATGAATCAAATGGAAATTCCAGAACTGAAAGTTACAATATCAGAAACAAAGAATTAATCTGATTGTTGGAGAAGATAGAAGAGTCAGTGAATTTAAAGATGGATCAATAGAAATGATCTAACCAAGAAAACCCAAATTAAAAAGACTGTATAACAAAATGAACAGAATCCAGTAACATGTGCAGTCCCAGAAAGACGGAAAGCAAAAACAGATCAAAAATTTTTTTAAGTAATAATGACTGTAATATACTTTCAACTTAAGTGAAAAACTAAATTTACTCTTCCTAGAAAATTCAGTAAATAACCAAGCAGTTGAAATAAAAAGAAAACCACACTTGGGGCACATCATTATCAAACACTGAAAACCAAAGATGAAAGTGTTGAGAACTACAAAAACTCTTTTTTTTTTTTTTTAATCCTCACCTGAGGACATTTTTTCATTTTTTTTGTTCAGATAGAGCAAGAGGGAGAAAGAGGAGGGAGAGAGGAAGAGAGAGAGAGAAACATCGACGTGAAAGGGACACATCGAGTGGCTGCCATCCACAGGGCCAAACCAGGGCCGGGGGACAAACTGCAACCGAGGTATGTGCCCTTAGCGGGAACTGAACCCGGGTCTCTCTGGACTGCAGGCCAACGCTCTAACCGCTGAGCCAAACAGGCCAGGGTGAGAACTACAAAAACTCTTGACACAAAGGACTCCATACAAACCCCTGCATTAAGAGACTTGATGGAACTCTAGCATGGCTTCTAGCAGACTAAGGCAGCATCCCTGGTATGGCCCAGTTCTTCTTTGGAAAAGCTCAAGGCTGCCAAAAGAATTTAGTACCACTTGTTACAGCTAACACCTGTTCACAGGCCCCTGACTTCCTTTTATTAGAGCATTTATTTTAAAAGCTTACAATTGTAAATCCTTCCTCTGTCTCTGAGACGTACAACTCAGAAAAGTCTTTTGCAAGAAACTCCCAAAAACCATTCCTCTGAAATGTAATCAATCATCAGGAAGGACAGGGCTCCAGTCTACCTAGAGGAAGAGTAGAAGCCTACCTTTGATAAGGGTCATTTAACAGACATAGATGGCCTATTCACATTAACACTGATCAACCCCTCTATCCATTTTTGGGGTAATTTTTTACTTCTATGACTCTGCACGAGCTCCCATTCATCCTTCTCTCCACATACTCCCTTATTCTCCCAATCACCTCTGTGCAAATTGGAATTAAGCTCAGCTCTATCCCCTACAGCAATGCTTCCTGAATAAAATCTATTTTTACCACTTAACCAATGACCAGTTTTGTTTAACTTTGACAACAGCCAGAGCATAACCATCCATAAACACGTGAATAGCAATTTCTCATCAGAAACAATAGAAGCCAGAGGCAATGGAACAACATATTTAAAGAGCTGAGAGGAAAAAGAAAGCTCAGTGTAAAATTTGTTCCCAAAATCTGTTCATAAGAGAAGTCAAGCCCTGACTGGTTTGGCTCAGAGGTTCAAGTGTCAGTCCATGGGCCGAAGGGTCTAGGGTTCGATTCCAGTCCAGCTCAAGTACTTGGGTTGCAGGTTTGATCCCTGGCCCTAGTTGGGTTCAGGCAGGGGTCTCTCTCACATCAATGTCTGCCTGTCTGTCTCTCTCCACCCTCCCCACTCTGTCTAAAACTTATTGGTAAAATATCCTTGGGTAAGGATCAACAACAACAACAACAACAAAATTCAAAACTAAAACATGTTCAGATAAAAACAGAATTCATTTCTAGCAGACACTGCACAAAGAAATGCTAAAGGAAATTTCTACATCATGAAGAGAAATGACAACGAATGGGAAAAAAAACCAAAGATCTAGAAAGTATAAGCATGTAGGTAAATGTAAAAACAATATACTTCTCTTAACTTCTACAAAAAGGAGATGAAAAATTACAGCAAAAATTATAACTCTAAAAGTATGTGAATGTAACTTATATAACAGCAGCAGAAACAGGAAGTGTTAAAAACAACTACAGTGTTGCAACACTTAGGATGCATATGGTCATTAGAAAAGCAACCCTTCATCCCCTAAAAAGGAAAATTAAAATGAAATACTAAAATAATTAACTCCAAAAGGAGAAAAGAACAAAAACAGATAATAAAGGAAAGTATAAACCCAACCACATCAATAACCATAGCAAAACATCTACAAAAAGGATGTACTTCAAATACAGATAAGCTGAAAATATAAGAGAAAAACACAGCTCATACAAGCAATAACTTTAATAAAACACAGTATCAACATCGGAAACAATAAGACTTTGAGTATTACCAGAGATTCATCAGAAGACATTAACAATTCTGTATGCATCCAAAAATAGTTTCAAAATACATGAAGCAAAATCTGACATCTCTAAAGGAAGAAATGAACAAATCAGCAAGCAGATCAATCACAGTAACTCCTTGGACAGTCACACTACAAAAAAACAACAACACACAACAATATGTCACAGAAGAGGTACTCAATACTATCAACCATTAAAGAGAGAGAAACAGAGGGAGAGAGACCAACCATATGATGGAGCCATTAAAAAAAGGTCAATTAAATTTAAAATTTTGAAATCTTACAGATTATGTTCTTTGGACACAAGAGAATTAAATTAGAAACCAATGACTGATACTTATCAAAGTCCCAAATATCTGGATATCAGCAACACACCTCTAAATAACCATCTGTTAAAGAAGAAATCACAAAATAAATTAGAAAATACAGTAAACTACATGATAATGAATCCCAGTATAAAAAGCTGGGGAGGGAGGAAGCTAGTGCTAAAACAATGCTTAAAGGAGTGGTTATACAGCTTGGCTGGTTAAAGTGCTTGTCTTATAAAGTAGTGCTTAAAGAAAAATTTATTGCTTACACGTTTGTATTAGAAGGGGAAAAAATTTAAATTAATAATTTAACTTTAATTAACAATAATATAATTGTTAACACTGTACTGGAAGTCCTAGCCAGTGAAATATGGCAAGAAAAAGGCAAAAATATTGGAAAGGGAAGAAATAAAATAGATTTTTTAAGCCAAACTCAAAGAAATAGAGAGTAAAATGGTAGTTGCCAGGAGCTGGGATATGGGGGAAATGAGGATATGTTGCTCAAAGGATAGAAACTTCCATATATAAGATAAATAAGTTCTGGGGATAAATGTAGCGTGGTGACTATAATTAACAACACTATTATATATTTAAAAGTCAAGAGAGTAAATTTGAAAAGTTATCACCACTCACATACAAAAAGGTAATTATGTGAGGGGATGAAGGTGTTAACTTTACTATGATAATCACACTGAAATATGTGTACCAAATCATCGCACTGTACACCTTAAACTTACATATATTATATATCAATAATCTCAATAAAGCTGGAACAAAAAGCCTGCCTGCTTTTTGTGACAATGACCTAACTGTTTACATAGAAAACCTCTGAAGCAACTTCTAGAACTCATTAGTGAACTTAGCAATGCTGTAGAATATAAGGGCAACTTATAAAAATTCATTATATTTCTATTATACTAGCAATAAACAATTTTAAAGTTAAAATTTTAAACTCCATTTACAAGTGTCAAAAACATAAAATACTTAAATGTTTGATGCAAGATGTGCAAGACTTATACACTAACAACTAAAAACCTTGCTAAAAGGTATTAAATAAACTTAACTATATAAAGAGATACACTATATTCAAAGATTAAATGACTCAATGTTATGATGACTATTTCCCCCAATTCCCTAATAATATTTGGTTTATTTTTTATAAATCCATTGGAATCATGATTTCAGCATGATATTTTAATAGCAAGTGCTAGCTGACTTAAACTGTAAAACAGAAATGCAAAAAGCTTGAGTAGCAAAACAATCTTTAAAAAAAGTTACTGATATACACACCAGAGGAATGCTTAACAATTTTAGGGGGTAGGGGAGAGAGAGAGAGACATCTATCATTTGCCTCCCATATGTGCCCTGACTGGGGATCAAACCTGTAACCTAGGTATGTGCCCTGACCAGGAACTGACCTGCAACCTTTTGGTGTAAGGGACGATGTTCCAATCAACAGCCACACTGGTCAGAGAGAAGTGCAAAAATCTTGAATAGTAAAATAATCTTAAAAAATAATTACTGAAACACACAACATGAATGAATGAATCTGAGAAATACTTGGGTGGCTGAGAGACGCTGAACCTAAAAGATTGAAAAAAAAAACAAAAAACTGAATGGTTCCATGCGCATTAAGTTCTAGAAGGGTCAAACAAACTGAAAGCGAAAAAAACAGTGGTTGCCTCCAAAGGAACCATTGGGAAAGTGTGAAAGAACTTTCTGGATAACTGAAATGTTCTATATCCTGATCCACTGCATATATATTTGTTAAAATGAATCCTACTGAGCACTTATGATTTGTGTACTTCACCATTTTAAAATTTTACAAAATAAATAAAAACATTAGCTCAGCCAGTGTGGCTCAGTGGTTGAGCATCAACCCATGCACCAGGAGGTCACCAGTTCAATTCCCGAGTCAGGGTACATGCCCAGGATGTGGGCCAAATCCCCAGTGGGGGGCATGCAGGAGGCAGCCAATCCATGTTCTCTCTCATCAATGTTTCTATCTCCCTCTCCCTCTCCCTTCCTCTCTCTCTAAAATCAATAAAGAAAAAAATAAAGTAAAAATAAACAAAACATTAACACAAAAAGACAATGAAACAAACTTCAGAATGGAAAACAGGAACAGAAGTGTCATATGATGATTTAGTATATAATAAAGCTCTCTATGAAATGATTTGGAAAGATCTCTAAAATAGCACATTAAGTGAAAAAAGCAATTATATTATAAATATTAATATATATGTGTGTAAAAACAGACAAAACTGTAAGTATTTGTGTATGCATACAGGAAAAGATACACACACACATCATAAACATTTACTTGAGGTAGGGAGGAGAAATGGGAAACTTCAATACATGTTTGTCTTATTTGTATGTATACATGCATGTTGTATGTGAATACATAAATATATAGAGATAACAGACTTTAAACCATATGAACATATTGCCTTTCATCAAATGAAACAAAAGAAAATACTGTCACAGAATTAAATGCAAATCAAGTCATCTTAACATTTCCATAAAAAGATATGCTTCTAACCTTAGATAACTAAGCGTAATAAGTAGAGATTGTTATTTTCTATTCTGGGCATTACTATGAGAGACAATAAAATGCCAACCTGAGCCCTGTTCATCATCTTCTGGTACAATGTCCTTTCTATCTAACATGGACCTTTGATGCCCATTTTCTTCCACAGGCATTTATGGGAGCAGGGAGCCCCTTCCTAGCTATCTTTTGACTTCATTACTAATTCTTTAAGTATGCCTAGCAAACCAGGTCAATTTTTAAGACCTAGTAGTCTCAGATTTAAATCAGGCAGCTTTAATCACCTCTTCTTCGTTAAAGACTGATTCTTTCTAAACTCCCAAAGTTTTTTGTATACATACCACCTGGCAAACAAGGTAGCTAATAACGAAATTACTATTTTTATAGCATAAAAACTGAATCACAATATTCCTAGTCACCCTAAATCACAACATTTTAAATAATAGTGTGGAAAAACCGATCTCTGAAGTTTTCAGTTTGTTAAAAGAACGACAAATTATAATTACAAGTATGAACAGTTAGTTCCTAAAAAATACTAAAAGAAACAAATGCAGGAAAAATGTTAGTGATAGCAATGGTTGTAACAACTACCATAAAAGGTCTTGTGTACATTCCCTATTTCAATAAATCTAAAACATTATCTACTTTAAAATTAAATATTATTTTGTGTTATACTTAAAAGGAAAAACTTCTTCCAATTTTATTTATAAGATGCATCCCAAAGTGAGCATATCATCTCCACCCCTCAAAGAACAATGCGTCCCAAAGTGAAAAAACAAAAACGTGCATCTTAGAATCAATGAAATATGTAATAAAGATTACCTTCATGAGTTAGCTACTACAGGTCAGGTACTACAGTGTAAGGCTTTAAATACATTATGGACCATATAATATCCTACAATGTATTATATCTCATTCTACATTTGAGGAAATTGAGCCTCTCCAAGGTCATACACCCAAATACAAGTGATAGGGACAGCCAGGATTCTAGCCCACATCTTGTCAAACAACACTTTCCACTCTACCAAGAGCTTTCTGAGCTTCTAAATTAACACCACCTATATCAGTATTTCTGGGGACCCTGCACACATTAAACACAGTACTATCAAGGGTCTGTTTGGTTCCTACAATAACTTGTTACATTTTTATTCTCAGTGAAGAGTAATTTACATACTCTTCTAAACATACAATCCTGGGTCACCTGGATAGGCACCTGTCTTGTACTGCTTCATCACCGCAGTGTCTGGGTTTGGATCTGTTATCTCCTCAGCACCAAGGGTTAAGTAGAGATATTGACTTAAATGCAAATGATGACATTACAACAAAAAGTCCAAATAGTATCAGGGTATACTGCATAAATTATGTTTCAAAGTAGTTTTATTTTTTTAAAAAAGGTAGAATTTACCAACACAGAGCACAGACCTCATAAGAAACTTAGTCATCGGTAGCATTCAGCACCTTAATCACAGTGAAACCAGAAAATCAGTATTAACAAAAACAGTATCATTCATTAAATTTGATGTCAGAATTTTCTTGGTTATAAAACTCAGTATAAATTAGCCTCTGATAAGCATAAGTTTACACTAAATTATGTTTCCACACATTTAAACAATATTAAGGGAAGTACACAAGATATGTCTGTACATTATTCAAATGTGAAAAGCATCAACTTGCACATCAAGCTGTTTACAAGGAGAGGAAAGAATAGGTCTGAAAATGAATAAAAATACTAGGTGAAATCAACAATATACCCCCCCAAAAGTATTAAATATTACTATTATTATTATGATAGCACTATTTCAAATAACATTTCCTAAATTTATTTGACCACCTGATTTCAAGACATTTAAAAAACTCTTTAGGTACTGAAAAATACAAGGTTAATTGTTCAAAAACAAAATTAGTCTCAGATCTGCCTGATCAAAATTTGATATTATTCACTAATGCAATTAACATAGGATATTACAAATATGTGTGAAATAAGATGTAACAGATAGCCCTGGCCAGTTTGGCTCAGCAGTTAGAGCGCTGGCCTACGGACGAGAGTCTCAGGTTTGATTCTGGTCAAGGGCATGGACCTCAACTGCGGTTTGGTCCCTAGCCCTGGTGGGGGTCATGCGGGAGGGCAACCAATTGATGTGTCTCTCTCACGAAAAAATTCAGAGGAAGAAAGGTTGAAACAGCTATTAAAATCATCAGGACACTAAAGTACCAAAAATGTCTGCATGGCCTACAGTGTATTAATTGCTCACTGGACTAAATAGATGACTTGGTAG